TATATATATATATATATATAGAAATATTTAGACTATGAGAACTTCAAATACTATTTTCTACTCTAAGCTAAGCATGTAAAAATTTTATTATTTTAATTATAAGTCTAAGTTGGACTTTAATGAAGCATACCACTTTGAAAATTATTTATTAGGAAATTTATTTAGAGTTATCATAAAAGATAAATTTGAGATATATATATATATATATATATATATATAGAAATATTTAGACTATGAGAACTTCAAATACTATTTTCTACTCTAAGCTAAGCATGTAAAAATTTTATTATTTTAATTATAAGTCTAAGTTGGACTTTAATGAAGCATACCACTTTGAAAATTATTTATTAGGAAATTTATTTAGAGTTATCATAAAAGATAAATTTGAGTATAAAACTAACTAAGAATTAAAAATTTTAAAAATTAACAAATAGGTTAATTATTAATTAACTCTATTAAGTTGGCAAGTGACAATAATTTTATGAAAAAGAAAACAAATATGACATAAAAAGAGGGAAAATGGTAAAATAACCACAAAAGTGACTAATCTCTACCCCCACACATAAATTTTATATTGTCCTTAATACAAACTCTATGATATACAAAATAAAGCATATAAGAAATGAAGCACTTACATTTGTTCGGTCGACCTAGAACAATGATGAAATGATAAAAATCTGTAATTACCTTTGGTATGAGGAAATAAAGTCAAAATTTTCTTCTATTTTTTTTCTTTTTTCATCATTTTTTCACATCTTTTTTTATCTTTGTTTTCATTTTTTCCTTCTTTTTATATTTTGTTATTTCTTTTTTTTCAAAAGATCAAGAAACTCTCAAATGAGAGAAGAATAAATTCTTTTTATTATTTATAGTGTTATGAGACAAAAATAAAGATGTAGAATGACAAATTATAAATAAAAAGCGCATATTACTTATGGAGTCTGACTTGTGAGTCGCTACATGGAGACACCGAAGGAGTCTCACTGGCTAGCTACGAAGAGGATACTAAGGTATATCAAAGGCACACTCAACCTGGGTCTCTTCTATGCATATGATAAAAATGCACAACTAGTTGGTTACTCAAATAGTGACTGGGGAGGTGACCTAGATGAGAGGAAAAGCACCACATGCTATGTCTTCTATCTTGGGTCAATTGTATTTTCATGGACCTCAAAGAAGCAAGGAGTTGTGGCCTTATCTTCATGTGAAGCAGAGTATAAGACGGCTGCATCTACAGTATATGAAGCAATTTGGTTGCGAAACATATTAAACGAGTTGGATCATCCATAAGAAGACTCGACTACAATTTTTATGGACAACAAATCAGCTATCCAGCTTGCAAAGAACCCAATACATCATGGGAAGAGCAAACATATAGATACACGGTTTCATTTTCTCGGAGATCATGTAAAGCAGAAAACCGTTGAACTGAAGCATTGTCACACCACTAAACAAGTAGCAGATATATTCACCAAACCATTATCAGCTAAAACTTTCATGAGGCTAAGAGACATGCTTGGCATAAAGACATTTTGATTTGAAGGGGCGTGTTGGAATATCAAATTAAAATCTTAGAATAAATGAGGTTAATAGCATGAGTTTTAGAAGTACAAGGGTCATAAGTAGGTTATGGATGAATAAGAGTTATTCACTCCTTTATGATGTTTTATCTTTATGACATTAAAATGGAGTTTAATTTGTGACTATTGGTACGCCTATACGTTTTGTTTTTGAAGCCTATATAAATGGCTATTGTAATCCTTGTTTCATCAAGAAAACTTGAATAAATAAAAGAAAGTTCTTTGTCTTCATTTGGGAGAGTTCTAAGTTCGTAAACTTAATATTCAACACTGGTATCAGAGCCACTTGATCCAATTTTTCCATTCTCTCTTCTTCTCATAGATACCACAAATAATCTTGTCAATCCTCAAGTGCCCAAATTATCGAAAGTTAACTATGAGAGTTGGTCAATCCAAATACGAGCCTTATTTGGTTCTCAAGAGTTGTGGGAGCTGATCATTGATGGGTTCACGGAACCTACACCAGAAGTAGAAGCCACCAACACCGCTGTAGAGAAGAAGGCTCTCAGAGAGCAAAGAAAGAAGGATAGCAAGGCTCGTTTTCTACTCTATCAAGAGTTGGACGAGTTTACCTTTGAGAGAATTGCCGAAGCAACGACGAGCAAGGAAGCTTGGGAAATCCTTGCTACCATCTACAAAGGTGTCGAGCGAGTGAAGTGAATTCACCTCCAAACTTTAAGGGGCGATCTTGAAGCCGCTTAAATGAAAGATGAAAAAAAATCTCCAATTATTATTCACGATAACTTCTAATTGTGAATAAAATGAGGAGAAATGGAGAAAAGATGGAGGGCATCCGAGTGATGGAGAAGTTGCTCCAATCCCACACACCAAAATTCGAGCACGTGGTGGAGACAATTGAGGAGTCAAAAAATTTAGAGGAGATCTCAATAGAGGAGCTCTTGGGATCTCTCCAAGTTTATGAACAATGATTGCAAAAGAATGCTAGTTCCATAGTTTTGGAATAAGTACTAGAGTCAACATTGACTCTAAGTAATCAAGGCTCACAAGGTAGAGGTCGTGGTCATGGTCGTGGTAGAGGCAGGGGATGTGATCCCCAACAGCAAACCACTCAAAATCAAGTAGTGACCCAAAGCTTTAGAGGATGAGGACGAAGCAATCGTGGAAGATCCACACCTGGGCGTGGAAACAACAAGTATGTTCAGTGCTATAACTGTCACAAGTTTGGGCACTATGCTTTAGATTGTTGGCACAAATCTGAAGACCAAACTAATCTTGCTGAAGCAACAAATGATGTGGGTAATAACTCTATGCTTCTTATTGCTAATGATGATTCAATTGTTGAGAATGATGCTTGGTACATTGACTCGGGTGCTAGCAACCACATGTGCGTGAAGAAAGAACTTTTCATGGAACTCGCAGAAGGAGTTCATGGAAGTGTAAGCCTGGGAGATTCTTCAAAATCCCCTGTTGAAGGCAAAGGGAAGATTAAAATCTACCATAAGGATGGTAAGTCCGAGTATATTTCAGATGTTTACTATATTCCTAACATGAAAATTAATATTCTTAACATCGGTCAATTACTCAGAAAGGGATATAAATTACCTATGGAGAACAACCATCTTTGGTTGAAAAATACAAATGGAGGCCTCATAGCTTGTGTTAAGATGATAAGGAACCACATGTTTTCCTTGCATTTAGACATGAAAGTCGACAAGTGTTTTCAAAGACTCATGGAGAATGAGTCATGGAGGTGGCATCTTCGCTTCGGCCATCTAAACTTCAGCGGCCTGAAGTTACTGTCTACAGCTGGCATTGTACAAGGTCTACCAACAATCGATCCATCAAATCATATTTGTGAAGGTTGTGTAATTAGCAAGGAACCACGACTTCCTTTTCCCAGTGGAAAATCATGGAGAGCAAAGGCACCATTGCAACTTGTTCACACCGATATCTGCGAAGCGATCGATCCTGTCTCTTTGGAAGGTAATAGATATTTTATAACCTTCATTAATGACTTCAGTAGAAAGTTGTGGGTATACACTCTTAAAGAAAAATCTGCCTCCTTTACTACATTCAAGCATTTTAAAGCTTTAGTTGAAGCGGAGAGCGGCCACAAGCTAAAAATTCTTCGATTTGACCGAGGTGGTGAGTACACCTCAAATCTGTTTCAAGAATATTGTAGGGAGCAAGGTATAAAGAGACAGTTTACTACAACCTACACACCACAACAAAATGGAATTGTAGAAAGAAAGAACCGAACCATCCTCGACATGACAAGAACCATGCTCAAAGAAAAGGAATTGTCACAGCAGTTCTGGGCAGAAGCCATAGTGTGCTCAGCTTATTTTCTCAACCGATGTCCTATGAAGATAGTGAAGAACAAGACACCTCAAAAGGCATGGAGCGATTACACGCCAAGTATGGCACACCTATGAATTTTTGGGTGTGTTGCATATGCTCAAGTACCTGAAGTCAAAAGGAAGAAGCTTGACAATCGTGATGAAAAATGTATTTTCATTGGATATAGCAAGGAGTCGAAGGCATACAAGCTCTACAATCCACTAACCAAGAAACTAGTTGTTAGTAGAGACGTTGTCTTCAATGAAGAAGAAGCATGGAACTGGAGCAATGAAGAGACTACTAAAGATCAACCCGTGTTGAATGAACCTGATGAGTCTCTACATGAGGAACCATCATCAGCTACACTACATGAGGAACCATCATCCTGCAAGAGGTTCTCCATCTTCTAGGGAAGGTAGTAGCAACGGATCTACCATGTAACGAAGTCCCATCAAAATGAGAAGCCTCAGGGAGATCTATGAGCAGATAGAAGAAGACGAAGAATCAAATCTCTTCTGCTTATATGCTAGTCATGAACCTCACACCTTCCAAGAAGCCATAAAAGAATATTGTTGGCGAACAACAATGGAGGAGGAGATCCACGCCATCCAAAAGAATGACACTTAGGAGTTGACAACACTTCCACAAAATCACAAGGCAATAGGGGTCAAGTGAGTGTACAAGATCAAGCACACAGCAAATGGTGAAGTTGATCGGTACAAGGAGAGGCTTGTAGCGAAAGGTTACAAACAAAAGTACATGAAGAATTCTTTGCGCCGATTGCTCGATTGGATACAGTGAGACTATTAATTTTACTTACAGCTCATCACAAGTGGAATATATATCATTTGGCTATCAAGTCAGCATTACTCATTGGCGTTCTCAAGAAAGAGGTGTACATGCAACAACCAGAAGGCTTTCTTGTGAAATGGCAAGAAGACAAAGTGTACCATTTGACGAAAGCCTTGTATGGCTTAAAGCAGGCACCAATTGATGGCTATCTTCATCAAAACAGCTTCATTAAATGTCCCTATGAACATGCCATCTACATGAAGAGGAACCATAAAGGCAAATTTCTAATAAAGCTTCATTAAATGTCCCTATGAACATGCCATCTACATGAAGAGGAACCATAAAGGCAAATTTCTAATAATTTGTCTTTATGTTGATGATTTATTGAGAGGAACCATAAAGGCAAATTTCTAATAATTTGTCTTTATGTTGATGATTTATTGTACACAGGAAGCAATACCAAAATGCTTGCTGAATTCAAGGCGGCAATGTCCAATGAATTTGAGATGACAGACAATAGATTGATGTCATATTTTCTTGGCATTGAAGTGAAGCAGCAGCAAGAGGGGATTTTTATATCCCAAAAGAATTACATGAAAGAGATCTTAGAGAAGTTCAAGATGAATGAATGCAACCATGTGAACACCCTAGTAGCCATCAGAATGAAGTTCTCAAGAGAAAGAGACGGACATTTCGTGGATTCAACTCTTTTCAAAAGTCTAGCTGGCAGCCTGAGATACTTGACGATCACAAGGCCCGATATTACTTATGGAGTCGGACTTGTGAGTCGTTACATGGAGACATCGAAGGAGTCTAACTTGCTAGCTTCGAAGAGGATACTAAGGTATATCAAAGGCACACTCAACCTGGGTCTCTTCTATGCATATGATGAAAATGCACAACTAGTTTGTTACTCAGATAGTGACGAGGGAGGTGACCAAGATGAGAGGAAAAACACCATTGGGTATGTCTTCTATCTTGGGTCAACTGCAATTTCATGGACCTCAAAGAAACAAGGAGTTGTGACCTTATCTTCATGTGAAACAGAGTATGTGGCGGCTGCATCTACAGTATATAAAGTAATTTGGTTGTGAAACATATTAAAGGTGTTGGATCATCCACAAGAAGACTCGATCGTAATTTTTATGGACAACAAATCAGCTATCCAGCTTGCAAAGAACCCATTACATCATGGGAGGAGCAAACACATAGATACACGATTTTATTTTCTCAAAGACCATATAAAGCAGAAAACCATTGAACTGAAGCATTGTCACACCACTGAACAAGTAACAGACATATTCACCAAGCCATTATCAGGTGAAACTTTCATGAGGCTAAGAGACATGCTTGGCATAAAGATATTTTGATTTGAAGGGGCGCGTTGGAATATCAAATTAAAATCTTAGAATAAATGAGGTTAATAGCATGAGTTTTAGAAGTACAATGGTCATAAGTTTAGAAGAGGAAAAGATATAGGTTATGAAAGAATAAGAGTTACTCACTCCTTTATGATATTTTATCTTTATGACATTAAAATAGGAGTTTAATTTGTAAAGAATAAGAGTTACTCACTCCTTTATGATATTTTATCTTTATGACATTAAAATAGGAGTTTAATTTGTGACTATTGGTATGCCTATACGTTTTATCTTTATGACATTAAAATAGGAGTTTAATTTGTGACTATTGGTATGCCTATACGTTTTGTTTTTGAAGCATATAAAGGGCTATTATAATCCTTGTTTCATCAAGAAAACTTGAAGAAATAAAAGTAAGTTATTTGTCTTCATTTAGGAGAGTTCTAAGTTCGTAAACTTAATAGTCAACACTGGTATCAGAGCCACTTGATCCAATTTTCCCATTCTCTCTTCTTCTCATGGATACCACAAATAATCTTGTCAATCCTCAAGTGCCCAAATTATCGAAAGATAACTATGATAGTTGGTCAATCCAAATGCGAGCCTTATTTGGTTCTGAAGAGTTTGTGAGAGCTGATCATTGATGGGTTCACGGAACTTACACAAGAAGTAGAAGCTACGTACACCACCGTAGAGAAGAAGGCTCTCAGAGAGCAAAGAAAGAAGGATAGTAAGACTCGTTTTCTACTCTATCAAGTGTTGGACGAGTCTGTATCAAGGGTTGGACGAGTCTACCTTTGAGAGAGTTGTCGAAGCAACGAAGAGCAAGGAAGCATGGGAAATCCTTGCTACCATGTACAAAGGTGTCGAGCGGGTGAAGTTAATTCGCCTCCAAACTTTGAGGGGTGATCTTGAAGCCGCTCAAATGAAAGGTGAAAAAAAAATCTCCGATTATTATTCACGATTACTTCTAATTGTGAATAAAATGAGGAGAAATGGAGAAAAGATGGACGACATCCGAGTGATGGAGAAGTTGCTCCAATCCCTCACACTATAATTCGTCGCTGCGCCATAGTCACCGTCCATGGGTCATGGTCCNGACCGCCTCTCGTCCGTGGGTTGGTGCCGCCGCCTCCTCCTCTCCTCCTCTAGGTATTTTTCATGTTAAATCTCAAACTAAACAATTTATAGGTTAATTTCGTATGAGGGTGCATTGTTAAACTGATCATAATATTTCCTTAAAGAGATTTTAACCATGTTAGCTCTTGAGCCTATATCACAATTTTGGACGGGCATATAACATAGGAGTTTAAGAGAAATGATCAACAGTGAACTGTAATACAAACCTAACTTACCTCTTTGCGTAATCCTGTGCCCACTAATATCATGCTTAAAAATTCGATTACGCAGGCTGGTCATCAATTTTTTTTGGGATTTCTCATTTTTGTTATATAATTTCACGAAAAATGGATGTTTAAATGTTTTGAAGATGGTCCCCCAAGGTCATAGTCCCCCAAATTATTAAAAATGTTAAGTGTTTTGAAATTTATCAACAAGATAGCTGCTTTGGCTTGTTTATTTGCTTGTTGGACTATTAGTATGCGGAGAATGAAAACAAGAATCAGGTTGAGTTGGTTTACTAAATATTCCTGGCTTGAATTGAACTAATTTCGTCGTACTCATGGAATTTTAATTAGGTCGTCATCCAAATTCGACCACTCAGCAGTACTTAGCTGAGCTCTCCCTTCAAGGAAATAACAAAACCGTTAGGTAGGATAGCTGCCACCAATTACGTGGACTGGACACCAAGAGTCCCGCTTTACCTTTTGATCTCGTCGCTAAGAAGCATGTCATCCAGGTATTAATTTTTTTTTCTTCCTTATTTACGTGTAATTACCTCTTCATCTGTTGATATCTTACAGAGAAATATTATGTTCTGCTTTTAATAGTAGAAACAGTTTAAAGTGGTCAGAGTTCCAATGGTGGAGAACTGTGCGTTTGGCTACAGCAGCTGCATGTTTGCATATGGTCAAGTAAGTTTTGCATATGTTCTTGTTGGAGTATCAAATTAAAATGTTAGAATAAATGAGGTTAATAGCATGAGTTTTAGAAGTGCAAATGTCATAACTTTAGAAGGGGAAGAGACATAGGTTATGAAAGAATAAGAGTTACTCACTCCTTTATGATATTTTATCTTTATGACATTAAAAGAGGAGTTTAATTTGTGACTATTGGTATGCCTATACATTTTGTTTTTGAAGCCTATATAAAGGGCTATTATAATCCTTGTTTCATTAAGAAAAAAATTAAAGAAATAAAAGTAAGTTCTTTGTCTTCATTTGGGAGAGTTCTAAATTCGTAAATTTAAGAGTCATCAGTTGTATCAGGGCCACTTGATCCAATTTTCCCATTCTCTCTTCATCTCATGGCTATCACAAATAATCTTGTCATTCCTCAAGTGCCCAAATTATCGAAAGATAACTATGAGAGTTGGTCAATCCAAATGAGAGCCTTATTTGGTTCTCAAGAGTTGTGGGAGCTTATCATTGATGGGTTCATGGAACCTACACCAGAAGTAGAAGCCACCTACACCGTCGAAGAGAAGAAGGCTCTCAGAGAGCAAAGAAAGAAGGATAGGAAAGCTCGTTTTCTACTCTATCAATGGTTGGACGAGTCTAACTTTGAGAGAGTTGTTGAAACAACGACGAGCAAGGAAGCATGGGAAATCCTTGCTACCATCTACAAAGGTGTCGAGCGGGTGAAGCGAATTCACCTCCAAACTTTAAGGGGCGATCTTGAAGCCGCTCAAATGAAAGATGAAGAAAAAATCTCCGATTATTATTCACGATTACTTCTAATTGTGAATAAAATAAGAAGAAATAGAGAGAAGATGGAGGTCATCTGAGTGACAGAGAAGTTGCTCTGGTCCCACACATCAAAATTCAAGCACGTGGTGGCGGTAATTAAGGAGTCAAAAAATTTGGAGGAGATATCAATAGAGGAGTTTTTGGGATCTCTCCAAGTTCATGAACAACGAATGAAAAAAAAGGTTAGTTCAATAGTTTTGGAACAAGTACTAGAGTCAACATTGACTCTAAGTAATCAAGGCTCACAAGGTAGAGGTCGTGGTCGTGGTCGTGGTAGAGGCAGGGGATGTGGTCCCCAACAACAAACCACTCAAAATCAAATAGTGACCCAAAGCTTTAAAGGGCGAGGACGAAGCAATCGTGGAAGATCCACACCTGGGCGTGGAAATAACAAGAATGTTCAGTTCTATAACTGTCACAAGTTTTTACACTATGCTTCAGATTGTTGGCACAAAACTGGAGATCAAACCTATATTGGCGAAGTAACAAAAGATGTGGGTAAAAACTCTACGCTTCTTCTTGCTAATGATGATTCAAGTGTTGAGAATGATGCTTGGTACCTTGACTCGGGTGCTAACAACCACATGTGTGAAAAGAAAGAGCTTTTCATGGAACTCGCAGAAGGAGTTCATGGAGGTGTGAGCTTTGGAGATTCTTCAAAACTCACGGTTGAAGGCAAGGGGAAGATTAAAATCTACCAAAAGGATGGTAAGCCCGAGTATATTTCTGATGTTTACTATATTCCTAACATGAAAATTAATATTCTTAGCATCGGTCAATTACTCGGAAAGGGATACAAAGTATATATGGAGAACAACAATCTTTGGTTGAAAAATGCAAATTGAGGCCTCATAGCTTGTGTTAAGATGACAAGGAACCGCATGTTTCCCTTACATCTAAACATGAAAGTCGACAAGTGTTTTCAAGGACTTATGGAGAATGAGTCATGGAGGTGGCATCTTCGCTTCGGTTATCTAAACTTTAGCAGCCTGAAGTTACTATCTACAGCTAGCATGGTACGAGGTCTACCAACAACTGATCCACTAAATCATATTTGTGAAGGTTGTGTTATTGGCAAGCAACCACGACTTCCTTTTCCAGTGAAAAATCATGGAGAGCAAAGGCACCATTGCAACTTGTTTACACCGACATCTGCGGACCGATCGATCCCATCTCTTTGGGAGGTAATAGATATTTTATAACATTCATTGGTGACTTCAGTAGAAAGTTATGGGTGTAGACTCTTAAAGAAAAATCTACTGCCTTTACTCCATTAAAGCATTTTAAAGTTTTAGTTGAAGCAGAGAGTGGCCACAAGCTAAAAATTCTTCGATCTGACCGAGATGGTGACTACACCTCAAATCTATTTAAAGAATATTGTAGGGAGAAAGGTATAAAGAGATAGTTTACTACTACTGCCTACATACCACAACAAAATTGTATTGCAGAAAGAAAGAACCGGACCATCTTCGACATGACAAGAATCATGCTCAAAGAAAAGGATTGCCAAACCAGTTCTGGGCAGAAGCCGTGGCGTGCACATCTTATTTGCTAAACTAATGCCTCACAAAGATAGTGAAGCACAAGACACCTCAAAAGGCATGGAGTGGTTACACGCCTAGTGTGGGACACCTACGAATTTTTGGGTGTGTTGCATATGCTCAAGTACCTAAAGTCAAAAGGAAGAAGCTTGACAATTGTGATGAAAATTGTATTTTCATCGGATATAGCAAGGAGTCGAAGGCATACAAGCTCTACAATTCACTAACCAAGAAACTAGTTATTAGTAGAGACGTTGTCTTCAATGAAGAAGAAGCATGGAACTAGAGCAATGAAGAGACTACCAAAGATCAACCCGTGGTGAATGAACCTGATGAGTCTCTACATGAGGAACCATCACTAGCTACACCACCATCTTCTCCACATTCTACACCCTCTCCTGCAAGAGGTTCTCCATCTTCTGGGGAAGGTAGTAGCAGCGGATCTATCGTGAAATGAGGTCCCCATCAAAATGAGAAGCCTTAGGGAGATCTATGAGCAGATAAAAGAAGACAGAGAGTTAAATCTCTTCTGCTTATATGCTGATCATGAACCTCACACCTTCCAAGAGGCCGTAAAAGAAGATTGTTGGAGAACAGCAATGGAGGAGAAGATCCATGCCTTTTGAAAGAATGACACTTGGGAGTTGACAATACTTCCACAAAATCACATGGCAATAAGGGTCAAATGGGTGTACAAAATAAAGCGCACAACAAATGGTGAAGTTGATCGGTACAAGGAGAGGCTTGTAACGAAATGTTACAAACAAAAGTACGACATCGACTATGAAGAAGTCTTTGCTCCGATTGCTCGACTGGATATGGTGAGACTATTAATTTCACTTGCAGCTCATCACAGGTGGAATATATATTATTTGGATGTCAAGTCATCATTCCTCAATGGCGTTCTTGAGGAAGAGGTGTACGTGCAACAAACAGAAGGCTTTCTTGTGAAAGGGTAAGAAGACAAAGTGTACCTTTTGAAGAAAGCCTTGTATGGCTTAAAGCAGGCACCACGAGCGTGGAACGCCCGAATTGATAGCTATCTTCATCAAAAGAACTTCATTAAATGTCCCTATGAACATGCCATCTACATGAAGAGGAACCATAAAGGCGAATTTCTAATAACTATGAACATGCCATCTACATGAAGAGGAACCATAAAGGCGAATTTCTAATAATTTGTCTTTATGTTGATGATTTATTGTACCATGAAGAGGAACCATAAAGGCGAATTTCTAATAATTTGTCTTTATGTTGATGATTTATTGTACACAAGAAGCAGTACCAAGATGCTTGCTGAATTCAATGTGGCAATGTTCAATGAATTTGAGATGACAGACAATAGATTGATGTTCTGTTTTCTTGGCATTAAAGTGAAGCAGCAGCAAGAGGGGATTTTTATATCCTAGTAGAAGTACATGAAGGAGATCTTAGAGAAGTTCAAGATGAATGAATGCAACCCTGTGAACACCCCAGTATCCATTGGAATAAAGCTCTCAGGAGATGGAGACGGACGTTTCGTGGATTCAACTTTTTTCAAAAGTCTAGTTGACAGCCTGAGATACTTGACGATCACAAGGCGTGATATTACTTATGGAGTCGGACTTGTGAATCGCTACATGGAGACACCGAAGGAGTCTTACTGGCTAGCTGCGAAGAGGATACTAAAGTATATCAAAGGCACACTAAACATGGGTCTCTTCTATGCATATGATAAAAATACACAACTAGTTGGTTACTCAGATAATGACTGGGGAGGTGACCTAGATGAGAGGAAAAGCACCACAGACTATATCTTCTATTTTGGGTAAACTGCATTGTCATGGACCTCAAAGAATCAAAGAATTGTAGCATAATCTTCATGTGAAGCAGAGTATGTGGCGACTGCATCTACAGTATGTGAAGCAATTTGGTTGCGAAACATATTAAAGGAATTGGATCATCCACAAGAAGACTCGACCGTAATTTTTGTTTACAACAAATCACTCATCCAGCTTGCAAAGAACCCAGTACATCATTAGAGGAGAAAACCACTACTGCATACTGAACTTTTGGCAACGGACAAATCCGTCGTCAAAAGTCAAAAATCTGTCGCTAAAAGTTTTAGCGACGGAAAAATAATAATTCTATCGCCAAAACTCCGTCATTACAGTGAGGGTAGGCAATGTATGTTTTAGCGATGACTTTTCTGTCGCTAAATTTCAGCGACGGAAATTTAGCGACGGAAAATCCGTCGTTTTTGTTAGATTTTTTATGACGACAAATTCCGTCGCTATAACTTTTGGCGACAAAAAATCTGTCGCCAAAAGTGCGTGTCAGATTCTATTTGCCGTATCCGTTTTTCATCACCAAAAGCATTTTCAGCGACGAAAAATCCGTCGCTAAAAAGTAGCAGTATTTTTAAATTTTTTTTTTTTGGAAATTTAAAAACCCTGTACAATATATTTCACAATAAAACCTGTATAATAAATTTACACAGCACAACCACATATAACACATATTTCATTCTCACGCATATATAACACATATTTCACTAAAAATAAAATAAATATCCTAACATTATAAATGTTATTTATACAGCACACCCATTGTTTTTTAAGTTAAAACAAAACAAATCAGTCCTGATCATCATTATCCTCATCACCAGCTCCACCTTTTCGAGATGGCCGGGCCTGAAAATATAAATCAGACGTTAACAAGAGTTATAGAGCAATACGTACATCATCAAAAACTAAATTTTACAGTAAAGTAACAAATTATAAAACAACATGGCATGACATGCAAGTATAGCAATAAGAGAGTATCACGGCATATTCTTACATGTTATATGTTTCGGAGAGAGTATCATGGCATATTTTTATGTATTATACGCAAGCACGCACATGTTTTTAACAACGCACGCACACACCCTAACCCCACCCGCACACACGCACGCACGTGTACCTATCTCCACAAACACGCACGCACACGCACCCCCACCATGGTGAAAACACCCACCAACCAATAACATAACTAACGACCCTACACACGAATGCACCACAACAAAACAAAACAACAACCAACTAACCAACTCACCAACAAATATAACCATCGCTACGCACGCACACACCATCAACACCACCATCACATAAAAACATTAAGTATATATTTTTGGTTTTGTGTTTCGGAGAGAGTTAGGGTTTGTGTGTAACAGTTTGTATCAGTGTGCATCAGTGTGTATGATATCATTTTGTCACATGGCATACTCATAACTAAGTAAGAATTTCATATTTAATTCATTTAATAAAATAAAATAAAAAATATATATATATATTACTTGATCCGTCATAAACCGTCTCCTATATGCCTCCTGAGAATCAGAAGACAGAGTCAATATGAACTGGGCGAATTCTAGCTCCCTCTGCTCCCGGCGGCTCCGTTCTTCCTCTGCCATCTGAAGTAGCTCTGACTCTCGATGTGACTGCCAAGCTTCCATCAATTTCATCCGCTGCTCTATAGTCGGGTGTTGAGAAGAACTGCATCCTGGTTGTGTTGCAGACTCGTAGGTGCTACTGGACTCGTGCGACCGTTGCTTGGATCCTCTCCACCAGTATCTGTTCTTCCTACTCGGTCCAATGACCGTCTCTATGATGCAGTCCTCCTCCTCTCTACTTAGTCGGGCCGGAGTGTTAGAATCGACCTGAGTCTGTGATAATTGCTCCTACACCTTGGCATGTAATTTCTCCTGCGATATACCAAAACAACTCGGTCAAGTCGACATATTAATAATGCATTGTTATAAAAATTGAATATACAAATGAACTGCTACTTACAGCCAGATCCTGGTTCTTCGATTTCTTCTCTTCATTGGCATAATTTGGACTCCAGGAAATCAGAATACGATCTGCAAAATGCCCGAGATCTCCCCTTCCTTATTTTATTCAAATATATCATTAACTCATAACACATAAATTATACGCAAATTGACAACCTAAGAGCTAATATATTATATACCTCAAGCACCAATTGATGATAATGCTGGCTGAAGGACCTAGAGCCCCCGTGATGCTCGTAACTACGGGGCACATTGCGGTTCCTCCTTGCTGTTTCAGCTTGACCTTGCAAAACAATGTCAAACAGATACAATATAGAAATTCAAACAATAAATAAAAATATATACTTCAATAATACCTGAATTTCGACCGTGTCCCAGTAATCGCAAAGTGAAAAAAATCTACTCCATCTACACGCTCGTCAAGATGCCAGTAGTGCTCCTAATCTTCTGTTATTTGAACAAAATATTTTTTCTTCAGCTAAAACCGCCACCTCTTGAACGATAGATTGATTTGCGTGAAACAGTAAGTCTAGGTACAAATGTAATCGTCAAGAAAGAAAAATTGCTTCAGCATATAAAGAAAAAAGAGATACAAATTAGTGTGTTAAACAAAATAATAAAATGACTAATAATTATGAGAATTAAAATAAATGACTCACACGTACATATCTCCAACAAGCCACCAGCGCATCAATCCGCTGTGACTTCCACGTCCAAAATATATTGAAGAAATCATGTCTACTGGCTAAAGCGGCGAGAAAATTGTGGAAAACATTAGCAAATGGCCCGATAGGCACGCCGTTCTCCCATCAGATCACGGCCCTCCAATGAATATCTGGGATGAGGTTTCGTTCCTTGGTACCACCACGGCCACGCCTAGCAGGTCGCTCGGTACCTATGAAAAAATAAAATTCAGGTGAAATATAAATCAATCCATATCAATAATACAAATTAAAATATTAACAGATAAACTATAAAAATCTATACACACCTTTCAATTCGACACATCTACGCCTTGCCTGCTCGTACCTATGTTATGCGATAGGTTGCAAAGCATGATAAGAATACCAATCGCCCTTCACCTTGGCCGGGCCGTGGGCTCGCTGATCCGTAATAGAATCCAGTGGTAGTGGCGTAACTTCTACAGCTGCGCTATATAGCTCATATCGGCGATCCTCTAATACATCTGCATGCGAAGGAGGGGACGATGGCATCTCCGCTTGCTGGGTAGGATCAACGAGTGTCTTCGCGTCAGGTGGAGCATCTCCTTGTCCTGTGTCTTATGACGGCGAGTCATGTGTAGCATCTCTGCGTCCTATGTAGGAAATGTTAAAAAATAATGTTAGGCTCATATTAATAGTTTATAGAAATGTATAGATATAATAAATAAATAAAAATACCTAATGTAGAGCCATGTGTGTCACCTCCAGAATGTCTACTAAAAAGTCTCTCAAGCGCTCTCTTACATAACCCTTTTGTCATCTATATTTTGAAAACATAATAAGTATCCAACAAAACTATAATACATGACACAAACTGATACATGATAACCAGTCAAACAGATAATATAAAGGCAATACTATAATACATGACACAAACTGATATATGATAACTAGTGAAACAGATAATATATCTGCAATACTATAATACATGACACAAACTGATACATGATAACCAGTCAAACAAATAATATAAAGGCAATACTATAATACATGACACAAACTGATACATGATAACCAGTCAAACTGATACATGAATGTTCTTTTTAAATCATAACCAAGTATTACATTATTATGATGATGTTGAGGCTCTACTCTGCGACCGTGTGCGGTTAGCCTGCAACCGTGTGTGTGCCGACAAAAGGACTGTCCTTATAGTTTTATCGACTCTGTCGCGGACTGGTTTTTTAACTTTACGCCTTGGCTCATATATAATCGTAGGTACATCAGGGTGTGCCAGTGCAATTTCATCTACCAGATTATTATTTTGTGTCAAAGAAAACTTAACAACTGTTTCATCGGCTAAGATAACCTCTTCGTGATCCTCGTCAGACATGACTTCATGAATGTAGGATCTAGGTGGATTCTTAAGGACAACCCATTCGTCATTTTTCATTATATCTTTGACATAAAAGCATTGTTTGGCGTGACCAGCTAACATGTACTTTTCAATCTGATATATTTCCTTGTTAAGATTAACGAGTGTGTAACTGTAGTCATCCTTTGTCTTTTTCAGCTCACACCAAGAGACCTTAAACATCACATGTCTGACTTCCTTATTAATCCCATAGAAAATCTCCACGATGTCTTCCACCTGATCGTAATAATAGATTTCACCTTGTATCGGATTTAGATCTTTTGAATTAGCGTATGACAGTTGCGAGAAGGAGCAGAACACACCGCTATTTTGCGTTTGTCGTCTCTCTTTGAAACCGATGGTGTTAAACCTAAATCCGTTGACACGGTAGCCTCCATAATGCTTAACCACATTAGAAGGGCCTATGGCATATAAACATATTTTCTCAGACAGGTTAACCCCATTCGTAATCCGTCGGTCAACCTTTAAGAAAAGAAACAAATAGTTTAAATATCTATTGGCAGGCACGTATATTTGATATATGAATCAGAAATATAAATAGATCTTACTTAATGTCGGAAATTGTCTAGAGTGTGTGTCCATAACTCTTTTATTTTTTGTTCTGCATTTAAGAATAGTCTGGACATATCGGATGTGAAGCCTAGAATAGAATCATTTATAACAGTTAAATAGAGATAATTATTGTGATGTGATATGATCTAATTCAAACAGTTAAATACTTACGTCGCGTATATGTTAAATGTAGTATCACTGCTCATGATATATGTGTGGGCTTGATCTAGCTCCATTCTGGGGAATCTAGTGTCCTCCCCATGATCATTATAGAATATTCCGTCAATTATTTGTTGGGGACGGTTGAGCCTTGTCTCCACACCTTGCAAGTAACGAGAGATAAACTTC